ATCAGAGCAACGTCAACCCTTGGTGCCTGGGAGCGAACCAGGAGACACCAACCTCCTGTCGGACTCGGCTGGGCTTGGAGACAGGAGCAGCGAGGAGGAGGAAAGCTGAGGCAAGAGGACAAGATGATCCCAAAACCTGGTTTCGGCTCCGGCTGCCAGTTCCCTCACCAACCCCCGGCAGTGAGTTTAATACCTCTTGCCTGCTTCCCTCAGAGATGGAAGGAAGGGATATTCTTTGGCGGGAGTGGACCCAAGAAGGCAGAGACTCTGTGACACCACATCAGAGAAGCCGGCAGAGCGTCCCCACCAGGAGGTGACCCTGCCCAAGAGCTCAAGGTGGCCAAGTGTTTTCCAGAACCGTCCAGTTGCACGTTTGCTTCCAAGGAATGCGCATCATCGGATGACGGCCTCCCATCTTCAACCACTCAGCCTTAACCGAAGGCAGATGAAGCTGGAAGAGGGCTCAGCCTCATTAGCATAACAGATGAGCATCCTTCCAACCCCGAGAAGGGCCAGAGAAGGGAGCCCGAGAGGCACCGTGGCCAGAAAGAACCAAGAGTGGGTCTCATTATCGAGGGCCAGGGCTTATTATTTATTTTATAATTTTTTAGGGGGGGTTGCATGTCAGATCATACCATGTATCCAAATGTTCAAACTACGAATCACCCCTTTCCCCAACGGTTTACCCTTCCCCCACTCCTGATCCTGCTTCTGCCTCATTACAGACAACCATCCTCCCGTCCTCCAAGCCCATTGCTTTAGTTTGCCTCCCTTGCACTGCCCCCAGACCCCCTCCCCACCTGACAGGTGTTGCAAAGTGGTCCTGAAAGTCCCTGAAGCGCCTCTCCATGAGGAAGTCTTCCCTGTCTTCCTTTAACCTCCTCCCTTCCTTTCCCGGAAATCTGACCTCCAGTGAGCGCCTGGAATTCCTTGTCCGCCAGCACCAGGCTCAGTGAGGTGGCTCGCCTACCAGCCAGGCAGGCGTGGTTCCTGCCTTTTCACGGGGGAGAGTGCTTCCAGGCATATGTGCACGCGCCCCGTTACTACAGCCATCATGATAAATACACCGGAAAAATTTAAAAATCCTACCTACTCATGTATCTGCATGTCAATGTCCTGTGCCAAGTCTCAAGGGCAATG